TGTCATGTGCCCGCACCCCTGCAGCCAAGCAGAGGGAAAACCCTCTTCTCAGAGCTCGGTCTCGTGCTGAGACGTGAGCTCGCGGGTTTGTAGGGCTGCCCTGTGCACGGGACAGAAGTCACTTAAAAAGGAAGGACATTAACCGTCCGGTCTCCTTCAGATGCCTTTGACAATGAGCTCATCTTCAAAACTCTCAAAGAAATCATGGAGGGGAAAACCGTGCAGATCCCCGTGTACGACTTTGTCACCCATTCCCGGTGAGTGAGCGGCCCGGGGTGTCCTCTGTGCCTGGGGTCTGGCCCTGTCCTCCCTGCCGTGCCCTCGGCCCCCTGGCGGGGAGGGCGGTGACAGCAGCCTGCGCGCCCCGATGAGCAGGTCGGGGTGTCACCGGCGCTTCTTGGAGCAGCTGGAACACGTCCGTTACCAAAGGGGATGGTCCCTGAGGAGTCGCTGGAGCTGTCTTCTGGCCCTCCCTCCCTCCGGCCCTCTCTCCCTCGGGACCTCCCTCCATCCTGCCCAGGTCTGGGGAAGGGCGGGTTGTTGGAGGAAACTGAGAGCCAGGCCTCTGAAAGCCTCAGGGGTGCAGGCCATGCGAGTTCCTGCAGCCCCACCTGCTCCTGTCTGCTCCCTTCTCTGTCCACATCAGGTGTCTCTCCCTGAGTGAAGGCTCAGGTCGGTCAGAGGAGCCCTTTGTCATGTCACCGCCTTTGCTGGGTCTCTGCTAAGTCCGAGGGAGGACCGCGGGCTCCCCCCGGGGCTCTAGCTCTGGTCCCTGGGAGTCCTGCCCAGCCCGGCGGTGAGCCTGCGCTCTTTGTGCAGGAAGGAGGAGACGGTGACCGTCTACCGCGCGGACGTGGTTCTCTTCGAAGGCATCCTCGCCTTCTACTCCCAGGAGGTGCGCGACCTGTTCCAGATGAAGCTGTTCGTGGACACGGATGCAGACACCCGGCTCTCCCGCAGAGGTGCGTGCACGGCCTCCTGCCCCGGTCCCAGGCGCCTGCTGCCCCAACGTTGGGTGACCTCTGAGAAGGGACTAGTCCCTGGGTAGCGTAAGCTTGTGAGCTCACGGAGGTGAACGAGGAGGTTTATTCCGGTTTCTCTGGAGAAGCATCTGACCAAGAGCTCTGTTCCTTGTGAGGTTCCCACGGCACCTCGTCCGGATGGAGCTGAGGGAAGGACAGCTGGGCAGGGACCCTGCCGGCAGCGCCGGTGCCTCCTCCACAGCCTGCTTCTCTAGCCCCTTGGTTTCCAGAAAGCTCTCTAGGTCCCGTCACTGTCCAGCGGCTTCGGACAAAGCCGGTTGTCCCCGCTGCGGGCCTTACTGAGCGTGGCCTGTGTCCTGTGATCACAGCTCTCTCGGTGTCAGCTCTGGGGCATCGGGCAGAGAGCGCAGGAGGCTGCGTGGAGGAGGGGCCAGGGCTCGGCTGTGGTGGGGTGGGGCGGGGCCACACACAGAGGCGCACGCACATGCGTGAAGACTGCACAGGCTGTCGGGGGGCTGTGTCGCTGATCCGTGCGACAGGCGCGCTGTCGTCACGAGGGAGCTGGGGAGAGATGAGAGGGCCTGCGGAAGCAGTGCCATGGGGGCGAGGAGGGAATGAAGGTTGACTCGGGCCTCGTGGAGACAGGAAATGACAAGGTGAGCCCCTTGGCACCGAGCAGCCAGTGGCAGTCGGATCTGCTGAGTGCCAGCCCAGCGCGTCTGACCTCGGCATCTGGGAAGTGTGCCCGGTTGTGAAACATTTGCAGCTGATTCATTTCTGAGGTCTTATTGCAGGAGCTGCGCACGGACCCAGCCGCCTGTGGAGAAGCGAGTCCAGGGCTCTGCCGCCCAAGTGGTAGCGGGATCCACACTGCTGGCTGGGGGTGCGTGGGGGGAGCAGAGCTCTGTGATGGAAAAAGCAGGGCTCCAGCTGGTTTTGAGATGTTGGTGGATCTCTCTCTGGGTAATCGGGAGACATCTGGGTTTTAGGGCTGAGGCTGGCCAGGTAGGAGTCCTGACAGCTGCGCCCAAGCCTGACTTCCTCATGCACCTGCCTCAGGGCCTGGCTGATCCTTAAGTCACACCCAGCCACCTGGGATCTGCCTGGAGGTCTGCCGGGGCCACGTGAGCTCACGCCTCAGGGAGGCAGCCGAGGCTCGAGGAACCATGTGGACTGAGCCGAGTCCTGGTTTCCCCTTTCAGTCGCTGGGCCCTCGGGCACACTGCTTTCACCTCTTCAGACCTCCTTTCCTATCGATCACCTGATGGTGGGTCCTCCTGGGCTGCTTGTGACGTTGGAGGTGAAGCAGGTGATGTGAGCGCGGGGCATCAATCAGTGTCGGTGTGGAGACGGAAATCCGCTCTGCCTGAGGCGGGAGGCGTCCTTCGTGGGGATGGCCTCAGGAGTTGGTGAGATCAGGCGAGAGTGTGAGGAGGCGGTGGAGATCGAACAGGAAGTCCCTCATTTGTCCTGACCATTCTGTGGAGTCGGGGGAGGTGGGGAGGCAGCCTGGCTTCTGGGCTGGGGAGTAGACACAGGTGGCCACCTGCTTTCCCCGCCTGTTGCCCCTCCAGCGGGTGACGGGAGGGGCTATCAGGTGTGCGGGGCATGGGCTGCAGGCCTGGGCTGAGGATGTGAGCACGTGTGCGTGTGCATGTGTGTGTGCGTGTGTGTTTGTGTGTGTGCACACGGGCTGGACAAGGATGGACTCCTGTCCAGGAGCAGTCGGCTGTGTGAAAAGCTTGCCTTGTGAGACCGCCTTGGGCTCCTGCAGGACTGTGAGTAAGCTGGCTGCCGGTGGCCTTTGCTTTGTCTCAGCTCCCATAGCCTTAGGCCCTGGCTTCCTCTTTGGTTTGGGGATTTAGCTCTGCAGCCCCACCTTTCCTGTCTCCCCGGGAAGGTGCTGCGTCTCTTGAGGGCCTGTCCTCTCGTGCGCCCACTGGTGAGTCACACTTCCCTGGTGCACTTGCGGGACTTTCCCGACGTGCTGTTTCTCAGATCCTTTTTCTGTGCACATGGGACGGAGGGCAGCCTGGGACGGAGGATGGCCAGGCGGGGCTCTGTGGGGGCAGGGCTGCCCGGAAGGGGCAGACAGGAGCAGCTGTGGGGCACGGGACATTCCTGCAGCCTGAATGAGGCCGTGGCTTATCTGTCTGTCACTCCTCAAGTGGGCGGGGCGCCTGCTCTGTGTCATGCAGTCTGCAGAGACGTCTTCCGAGGGGCCTCCTTCCCCCGGACCTCTGGTCACTCACCCCT